AAAAGATGTTTGAAATATTCCAATATATGATTCTTTATCGTGTTTGTTGTTGAGTGATGAACAATACTAAGATCAGTTGTTATTTATAGGGGAAGAAATGAGCTATGGTGGTACTAATTGTATTTGTCTCCATAAAACGTCTTTCAAATTTTTATTAGATAATCAATAAGCTTGCAGTTTCTTATTTTCTTATTGAATGAGAAGTTACTAAAATTAAAAAAGAGTCCACAGCCACCTTGATGATACGACAAAGGAGATGATATATATAGTACGACACAATTAGAAAACCCGGTTTAGGGTTTTCAACTCTATTAAAAACAATCTTAAAAAAATATGACACTTTATCTTAAATATTAAAAAAAAATCAAAATATTGTTTAAGGGTTTTCGAGGTGGCCCAAGTTCGACCGGGCAAATTAAACCACAAAAATCTTGAGTCTGAACAGGCTTAGCGAGAAAAACCAGACTTTTATGAATATATATATATATCGAGCCCGCTATTTTTAGGGCTTTTGACGTAATCGACATGCCTATGTATCTGTTCTCTCTTTTCCATATTCTGTTAAAGTATTTATTATTTCATGTATATATTTTTTAATTAGGAACAGTTTTAGCAATAAATTCTAAAACACATACCTAAATAAATGATTAGGAATATAAGACATACCACGACATATCTTATGCACCATGTTCGGTGATTGAATTTCATATATTCGTAAAATAAAAAATATAATTTTTGTTTTTAAAATTTAACTCACATTTATTTAAATTTATGGTCATATGACCTAAAAACCAAGATACTTATTCAATGATGATATTGTAAAACTAAATATGAAAAGATTAAATGTAAAAAAATGAAAGACAAGTTTGTGAGTAAAATAATAATGGATGAAAATTTGATATTTACTATTTTGACTCTCTTTTCTATTATAATTTTTGAATGTGAAAAATTAGTGAATTTAATTCATCCATTTATATTATGTATATTATGGATATTTACCATTTCAATTTTTAAAGATTGAGCAAGTTTTAAGATTTTTCAATATAAGTGTGCAACACACTTCGCATATTTTTACTGTGTTTGCTAATTTAAAACGTAATAACAATCATCCATTGGAATTCTAATTTTAATTTTTCTAGAATCGTGCTTTTATAGCGCTTCTAAATTCATGTTGTTTCTGAAAGGTCATTACACCTTCAAGCAAGCCTTTTTGCAATCTAATTAAAATTGTTATAGATTATTGTTATGTAAAACTGGGAAAAACAAAGTGACTCGTTTATAATGCTATTATTATATCGTTGAAAATTTTGGATACAAATCGTAAACCTAATCTTATTTTTCAACTAAAAGAAAAAGAAAAAAAAAATGCAACGATTAACATTATTTGTAATTAAATTCTATTTTTTGGTAGGAGGAAGTGCGCCAACAGTTTTTGAACATTGTTCCTTTAGCATAGGAGGAAAAAATGGATTGAATGGAAGTTGTGGAATGCAATTGGTTTCAGCTTCCAAAATTGCTTTGCAACAAGCAGGACCTATGTTTCCGAACTTTCCAATGAGTATAGATTGCGAAAACTCTGCGATACACCCTGGAATATTCATAAAAGATGTCAAACATTTTGTTATATCAGGTAATCCTGGTACACCGGGACTCGGTAGGAATGGAAATGGAAAAGGAAACGGTGCCGGAAATTGTGGTAATTGAGCATTTGCAGACAGTGCAATGCATAAAACCGCTAGGAGAAAAATCACATTTTTGAAAGCCATGATGAAAAAAAAAAGATGTTTGAAATATTCCAATATATGATTCTTTCTCGTGTTTGTTGTTGAGTGATGAACAATACTAAGATCAGTTGTTATTTATAGGGGAAGAAACGAGCTATGGTGGTACTAATTGTATTTGTCTCCATAAAACGTCTTTCAAATTTTTATTAGATAATCAATAAGCTTGCAGTTTCTTATTTTCTTATTGAATGAGAAGTTACTAAAATTAAAAGAGAGTCCACAGCCACCTTGATGAGACGATTGACATTAATAGGAAAATATTAACTACTTAGACTATTGATGATAGGATAAAGGAGATAATATATATAGTACGACAAAATTAGAAAACCCGGTTTAGTGTTTTCAAATCTATTAAAAACAGTCTAAATAAAAAATATATGACACTTTATCTTAAATATTAAAAAAAATTCAAAATATTGTTTAAGGGTTTTCGAGCTGGCCCAAGTTTGACCGGGCTAATCAAACCACAAAAGACTTGAGTCCGAACGGGCTTAGCGAGAAAAACCAGACTTCTATGAATATATATATAATTTTGAGCCCGCTATTTTTAGGGCTTTTGACGTAATCGACATGCCTATGTACACTACAAGAAAACATGCGTTTTGCAACTAAACTTTGCGACCAAACTTTTAGTCGCAAAATTGTGTGACTATTTTGTGACTAATGTACGAATTTTTACTGACGAATTCAAACACAGTTGGAACTTAGTCGCTATTCGGCGACTAAAACAAATAGTCGGTAATTAGTCGTTCATTAACGACGGTTGTGCGTCTGATTGCAGACTAATTTGTTTCAGTCGCAAATAAGTCGCATCCGATTGCACATGTGCGACTGATTTGCAACTCAAAATTTGGTCTGAAAATATGGTCGCACGTTAGTTACTCGTTCGTTGCAAACTAGTTGGTAAAAGTTGGCTCTTTTGTTGAACCTATAACACTTTTATTGATGTTTTGCAATTTAGTAAAATATCTATATTACTTGAGTTTTGCAAAGTTTTTCAACCTTAAAATAATATATGTCCTCTATAACACTAATATGAGTGTTTGTGAGTGATATATATCAGCCTTTTGGATCAATATAATAGATAACAGTCACAAAACAGTCGCAAACGTGCCACCATTTTGTAACCAGTGTTCATTTAGCGACTATTTTGCCACTAATATTGCAACTATTGGCCGACCAATATTGCGACTATTTTGGTACTAATTGTGAAATTTCTAAGATTTTTGCTAAGTGTTTGGTCGAACTTAGTAATAAGATTCATGCACACCAAGTGTTCATTAAAATGTCCTAACCAATGACATCTACATATCCATTTTAAACTCAAATTCAATTGATGAAAATAGTACAAGACAATCTCATAAATATTACAAGTTCAAGTTGGAGTTGCTTAAAGTCTCATAAACAATATTACATTACAACATTACACAAACTAGAATTCTTATGCAAAGAAGACATAGTACACCATAGCCATGACCAAACCACCACACACAACCATATTTTTTAAGCTTCGTAACTCTTGTACCTCTTTCTCACACAAACTGACGACATCTTTGAGATATACAATCTCTTTCTCACATCTTTATGCCCTTTCTTTGATAGCTTCAAGCTCATGTAATCCTTTTGCTAAGCTTCCCACATCTCCTTCTATCTTCTCAACCACACTTTCAACCATTTCCATCTCTTCGACCATGGATATGTCGGTCCACTTAAAAAAATGATGCTTATTCTGCAACAAAAATACACTCATGAGGACAATTTGCATATGTTCATACAACTTGAGAGCATATCATAACCAAAAAGATCACATTTTTACAACGTACAACAAAACCTAAGCAGCTAGAGAATGTGAAACTAAGATCAACGTATACAAATTACGAAAGGTGAGAGATAAACCAATGTCTCGAAGCAAGATCAAAAGCTAAACGCAAATTCAAATCAAGAGAAGCTTTGTGTACCTTAAGATTCTATAACTTAAGAAAACATTACCTCACCAATGTCTCGAAGCAAGATCGAAAGCTAAACGCAAATTCAAATCAAGAGAAGCTTTGTGTACCTTAAGATTCTATAACTTAAGAAAACATTACCTCCTCTGATCCGTTTGGACAACAATGAAAGAGTCTCCCCGGATTTTTCAAAGTGTTTGAAGTCTTAATCACAGAGAATTGACCACATTTACATTGTCTTGGGATCCCTCTTCCTCTCACAGAGAACCTATCGCTCACACCTTCACCAATCCGCAAGAAATTAAGTATCTATCAAAATCTACATAAAATCAAACCCACACCTTACATTCTCGATTACTGACCTGAAGAAGCTGATGAAGACATCGGGATCAACACTTATGAAGCTCAGCAGAAATTGGGATCTTTAGAACCCTAGCTTTTCCAAAATCCCCAATTCGATTTTGGGATTATGTCGCAGAGTTGAAGAAGAAGAAGACTAAATGAGATGACTAAACGACGTCGTTTTACCCATTTGTCTTTCCTTTAAAATAAGTCGCAAAACGGTCGCAATTTTGCGACCGTTTTGCGACAAACGTATATTGAAACGTTTATTCTCCACCAATTATCTCTTAGTCGCTAACTGGTCGGTCATTTGCGACTAGCACCTGAAGATTTTGCGACTGTTTTGCGACTAGCACCTGAGATTGCGACTCATATGCGACTATTTGCCAACTCTCGATTTTTGTTTTCTCACTTTTCACATTTTAAATTTGCTTACATATAAAGTTAAACATTTCTACACTTATTTGATATTACTCATCAAGAAAATCTTAACCAAAGTCATAAATACTGATGTTTAGAAACAAAATATAAAAAACAAACAAATCTCTTTATGATATTACATTACTCATATGAGTAATGTTTAGGGATTTAGTAAAAACTCTACATTACTTGAGTTTTGCAAAGTTTTGTAACCTTAAACAAATATATGTCCTCTATAACCCTAATATGAGTGTTATAGAGTGATATATGTCACCATTTTGGATCGAAATGTGTAGATTTCAAAATTTTGCCTTGTGACTAATATATCACAGTCACACAACCGTCGCAAATTTGCCACAATTTTGGAACGATTTGCCTGTTGCGACTATTTTGCGACTATTTTTGCAACTATTTACCGACCATAGTTGCGACTATTTTGGTACTAAATGTGAAATTACTTGAGTTTTGCAAAGTTTTGTAATCTTAAACTAATATATGTCCTCTATAACCCTAATATGAGTGTTATAGAGTGACATATATAACCATTTTGGATTGAAATGTGTATACCTCTCCTTTTGCGTTGTGACTATAGATTACAGTCACAATCTGGTCGCAAAGTTGCCACTATGTTGGAACTGTTTACCATTAAGCGACTATATTGTGACCATGTTTGCAACTATTTGCCGACCATTATTGCGACTATTTAGGTACTAAATGTGAAATTTCTAAGATTTTCGCTAAGTGTTTTGGCGGTTTAGATTCCCCCCCCAATTTTTTTACTTTGGTACCATTTTGCGATTAAAGAGCGCCTAGTACTCTTAATTAATTAGGTAAAACTTAAACGAACCCTCATTTCCACCACAATCCCCAAATCGATTTAGGGTTTCTCTCTCAATCTCTCAATCGTCCCCTCTCTCTCTCAATCGATTCTCACACAAATCTCTCTCAGTTTTTCCCGATTCTCTCTCAAATCTCTTCCAATCCTCTCGAATCCTCTCTAAAAGCTCTCGAATCTCAACATCTCAAATCTCAAATCTTCTTATGCCGCCTAAAGGTAAATCCTCTCGAGGTCGCGGAGGTGGCGCTATCACCAGAAGAGTGGCCACCGGAGGTGGCCAAACCAGCAGACAAGAAGCCGCCGGAGGTGGCCAAACCAGCAGACAAGAAGCCGCCGGAGGTGGCGTAACTACCAGACGAGTAGCCGCCGGAGGTGGCCAGGCGCTACCACAAGAAGCTGTAGGAGGAGGCGAGACCAGCAGACCAGTGAGACCAGGAGGTCGAGTCCGAACCTTCGTTGGTCACAGACCACCAGTCACTGCGAGTGGAGTCGGAACATCTTCAAACGCGTCGAACCCATCCTCGGCAAGTCAGTCTGCGACCCAATCTCAAGTGAGTCGTCCTTCACTTAATTCTAGTAGACAGAATCCTCCTCCTAGGCAGACTCCTCCTCTCAATAGACAGACTCCTCCTCCTCAGCCGCAGCATCAGCCACCGTCTCCTCAAACCCAGCCTCTACCGGAACATGATGCGAATAACCAAGTGCTACCTGAAAATGAAGACCTTGTAGAGGAAGAGATCGATGATGTAGGACAAGAAGATGACGAAGAAAACCCTAATCCTGGGGAAGACTACCAAGAAATGCTGGATCGTTTGCTAGCTCTTCTAGGCCGAGAACATCTTCCTCGATTGTCTGTACACCCAATCCCAGACGTTGAACATTCTGGTATTAACACTTTGTCCCTCTGTTTGTTTTGTTTGATGTGTGATGTTTGGTATTGCTAAAAGTTTTGGTCTGACATTTATCATTTGACTAGGGTTTGATCTATCATTTGCTAAAAGTTTCAAAAAGATACATGTTATTGCTTTGGTCTGACATTTGCATATTATTGGTCTGACATTTGCATATATTAGCTTGCATATCATTGTTTGTTGTTGTAATCGTTGAGTCTCAGAAGTGTTGTGAAATACAGTATGAGACTTGGTCTCAAAGTGTTGTTTCATATATTAGCTGTCAAATACAGTATGTATATGCAATATATAACAGCTGTAGGTTTTTTGATTCAATGAGTTGTTGTTTTTGAACCATTTTGACAGAGTTTTAGCTAATTACAACAGTCGAATTGTTTTTGCATTGGTCTTCACTCTTTGAAACTGAACTAAGTTCATTCATGCTCATTCTCTGTTTGGTGTTTGCTCTTTGAATCTTTGCTATATCTTCATTTCATTCATGCTCATTCTCTGTTTGTTGTTTGCTCTATATAAAATCTGCTTTATATAGACTAATAGCAACTTGTTGTAACAGGTTTAACCGGCAAAAGGGGGTGTTGTCTCGAGCAATTTCTAGAATATTTAGGAGGAAGTTTGATGGGCCTTACTACAGCTGGAAGGTTATTCCAATCAACATACAAGAGAGATATTTCAGAACTTTTGCGGTAATGACATATATATATAGCTTTCATTCTCTCTTATTGTAGTATATATAGTATGTTACTAACTTACTGTTTTGTGTTATGTACCGGGAGTTTAATTGGGATACTGGGATTACTGCCCTTGTTAAACAAGGATTCTTGGTTATAGCGCAGAAACGGATGAAAGGCATTGTCAGTCAAGTGAGGACGAAAGGTGTACAACCAACTTGGATTCGACTTACACTTTGGACTGAGATGCAGAACTTTTGGAAGACCGCTGATGCTATAGAGAGGAGTGAGAATGCTTCACAATGCAGAAATTCTGATCGTGGCGGACTTGGAGTGCACAAACACTTAGCCGGTCAGAAATCATTTATTCAAGTTCATCAAGAAATGGTAAGTTGTTTCAATCGCTCCAAATACTTTACTTTTACATAATTTCTATCATTTCTACACATGATATTCATTTTGTCTTTCATTTCAGGAGGAAGAGTTGGGGCGTCCAGTTTCATTAGGTGAAGTGTTTATGAGAACGCATACTAGAGCTGATGGCTCTTTCGTTGATCAAAAGTCTGAACAAGTGGCTGAGGCATATAAGAAGACAGTTGAAGAGAGATTGGCTGAAGTGGAAGAGGAGGTTCAGGATGCTTCAGAGATTTCCTCTGAACATTCAATGCATCCTAGAGAAGTCAGCATTGATGAAATGAATGATATCTTCCTTAAGGTAAGTCATTTCTGTCTTTAGTTTGCTTGGATTATATGATTGTATTTGTTTGCTTGGAGTATGATAGTCTTGTCTGCTGAGTATTGTTACTTTAATATCAATGATGATTCTTATTTGTCTTTGTCTGATTTGCTTTGTGGATTGTCTTTGTCAGACTTCTTTGCTACATTCTGGATTTCGTTTGTTTTTTTTCATTTTGTCTATGATCCTTCTTGTCTGATTTCACTGAATGTTTGTCTTTTTTTGCAGTGTACTCATATAGATGACCAAGGCAACCCTTATGGCCTTGGATCACTAGTGGAGACCCTACACAAGGGAAAAAGGAAGGAGAGTTACGCAAGCTCTTCTTCTACAGTGACAGTTGTTGAGCTTCAAGAGCAGCTGCGGCGTAAGATCTCTGATCAGGATGCTGAGAATGCAAGACGTGATGAGGAGCACCGGAAGTCTCAAGCTCGGATCGCAAGCTTGGAGAAGCTCATCCTTTTCATGAAAGACAAAAATCCAGACTTGGCAGCTTTTATGTCAACCTCTCCACTCCTTGAACCAGAAGTGATCATACCACCCACCACTACAACAAACACCCTTCCACCCACCACAGGAGCTGCAGTCCAACCAGCAGGACACACCACTAGAACCACACCAACCTCTCCTCTATCCACCGCCTCAAATGAGGAAACTTGATTTCAGTTTCCTTTTCTGTGTATGTGAACTTGATTAGGATTGTTTTTGAATGGTTTGTAATGGTACTTGATTCATATTCGGATGGTTTTTGAATGCATTTGCTTTTGAAATGGACAGGTTTTGGACTAATAAGATGTAACTATTTTGTGACCAAAAAGTTTCAGAAATTCGGACTAATTTGTGACCAGAACAATTAACAAATGTGACCAAACTGTGACTAAACAAATTTACAAATAACTCTAAATCTCGTATCAAAATGGTTCCTAATAAAGGACTACTTTCTCACCATAATAAATGAGTCCTAAAATAGTCGCACCATATGCAACTCTTTTGCGACTAAACTGTTACTAAAACATACACAGCTTGCGACTAATGTGTGACTAAGAATTTGATCCAAGAACTCTAAACGGTCGCAAACAAGGCGCAAATTGATCCAAATATGTAAGGTTATTACAGTCGCAAATGAAGTCGCGAACGTCCGTTCGTTGCTCTTTGGTTCGTATATTTGCAACGATATTTACCAGTCACAACGTAGTCGGTCATTTGCGACGATAAATTTATAGTCGCCACATAGTCGCAAATTAGCGACTATAGTGATACACGGAAATTTTGCGACCGTTTTTTTGCGACCAATGGAAATAGTCGTTATTCAGTTGCAAAACCCTCTTTTGCGACCGTTTAGCGACTAATTTCACAGTCGCAAATGAAGTGTTTTCTTGTAGTGGTATCTGTTCTCTCTTTTCCATTTTCTGTTAAAGTATTTATTATTTCACGTATATATTTTCTAATTAGGAACAGTTTTAGGAATAAATTCTAAAACACATACCTAAATAAATGATTAGGAATATAAGACATCCCACGACATATCTTATGCACCATGTTCGGAGATTGAATTTCATATATTCGTAAAATAAAAAATTATAATTATTGTTTTTAAAATTTAACTCACATTTATTTAATTTTATGGTCATATAACCTAAAAACCGAGATACTTATTCAATGTTGATATTGTAAACTATATATGGAAAGATTAAATGTAAAAAATGAAAGGCAAGTTTGTGAATAAAATAATAATGGATGAAAATTTGAAATTTACTATTTTGACTCTCTTTTCTATTATAATTTTTGAATGTGAAAAATTAGTGAATTTAATTCATCTATTTATATTATGTATATTGACCATTTTAATTTTTAAAGATTGAGCAAGTTTTAAGATTTTTCAATATAAGTGTGCAACACACTTCGCATTTTTTTTACAGTGTTTGCTAATTTAAAACGTAATAACAATCATCCATTGGAATTCTAATTTTAATTTTTCTGGAATCGTGCTTTTATAGCGCTTCTAAATTCATGTTGTTTCTTGAAAGGTCATTACACCTTCAAGCAAGCCTTTTTGCAATCTAATTAAAATTGTTATAAATTATTGTTATGTAAAACTGGGAAAAACAAAGTGACTCGTTTATAATGCTATTATTATATCGTTGAAAATTTTGGATACAAATCGTAAACCTAATCTTATTTTTCAACTAAAAAAAAAGAAAAAAAAATGGAATCGTTAACATTATTTTTAATTAAATTCTACTTTTTGGTAGGAGGAAGTGCGCCAACAGTAAAAAAAACATTGTTCCTTTAGCATAGGAGGAAAAAATGGATTGAATGGAAGTTGTGGAATGCAATTGGTTTCAGCTTCCAAAATTGCTTTGCAACAAGCAGGGCCTATGTTTCCAAACTTTCCAATGAGTATAGATTGCGAAAACTCTGCGATACACCCTGGAATATTCATAAAAGATGTCAAACATTTTGTTATATCAGGCAATCCTGGTACACCGGGACTCGGTAGGAATGGAAATGGAAAAGGAAACGGTGCCGAAAATTGTGGTAATTGAGCATTTGCAGACAGTGCAATGCATAAAACCGCTAACAGAAAAAACACGTTTTTGAAAGCCATGATGAAAGAAAAAAGGATGTTTGAAATATTCCAATATATGATTCTTTATCGTGTTTGCTGTTGAGTGATGAACAATACTAAGATCAGTTGTTATTTATAGGGGAAGAAATGAGCTATGGTGTTACTAATTGTATTTGTCTCCATAAAACGTCTTTCAAAGTTTTATTACATAATCAATAAGCTTGCAGTTTCTTATTTTCTTATTGAATGAGAAGTTACTAAAATTAAAAGAGAGTCCACAGCCACCTTGATGAGACGATTGACATTAATAGGAAAATATTAACTACTTAGACTATTGATGAGAGGACAAAGGAGATGATATATATAGTAAGACACAATTAGAAAACCCGGTTTAGGGTTTTCAACTCTATTAAAAACAATCTTAAAAAAATATGACACTTTATCTTTAATATTAAAAAAAATCAAAATATTGTGTAAGGGTTTTCGAGGTGGCCCAAGTTCGACCGGGCTAATTAAAGAACAAAAATCTTGAGTCTGAACAGGCTTAGCGAGAAAAACCAGACTTTTATGAATATATATATATATATATATATATCGAGCCCGCTATTTTTAGGGCTTTTGACGTAATCGACATGCCTACGTATATGTTCTCTCTTTTCCATATTCTGTTAAAGTATTTATTATTTCATGTATATATTTTCTAATTAGGAACAGTTTTAGCAATAAATTCTAAAACACATACCTAAATAAATGATTAGGAATATAAGACATACCACGACATATCTTATGCACCATGTTCGGTGATTGAATTTTATATATTCGTAAAATAAAAAATATAATTATTGTTTTTAAAATTTAACTCACATTTATTTAAATTTATGGTCATATGACCTAAAAACCAAGATACTTATTCAATGATGATATTGTAAAACTAAATATGAAAAGATTAAATGTAAAAAAATGAAAGACAAGTTTGTGAATAAAATAATAATGGATGAAAATTTGATATTTATTATTTTGACTCTCTTTTCTATTATAATTTTTGAATGTGAAAAATTAGTGAATTTAATTCATCAATTTATATTATGTATATTATGTATATTTACAATTTCAATTTTTAAAGATTGAGCAAGTTTTAAGATTTTTCAATATAAGTGTGCAACACAATTCGCATATTTTTACAGTGTTTGCTAATTTAAAACGTAATAACAATCATCCATTGGAATTCTAATTTTAATTTTTCTGGAATCGTGCTTTTATAGCGCTTCTAAATTCATGTTGTTTCTTGAAAGGTCATTACATCTTCAAGCAAGCCTTTTTGCAATCTAATTAAAATTGTTATAGATTATTGTTATGTAAAACTGGGAAAAACAAAGTGACTCGTTTATAATGCTATTATTATATCGTTGAAAATTTTGGATACAAATCGTAAACCTAATCTTATTTTTCAACTAAAAAAAAAGAAAAAAAAATGCAACGGTTAACATTATTTGTAATTAAATTCTACTTTTTGGTAGGAGGAAGTGCGCCAACAGTTTTTGAACACTGTTCCTTTAGCATAGGAAGAAAAAATGGATTGAATGGAAGTTGTGGAATGCAATTGGTTTCAGCTTCCAAAATTGCTTTGCAACAAGCAGGACCTATGTTTCCGAACTTTCCAATGAGTATAGATTGCGAAAACTCTGCGATACACCCTGGAATATTCATAAAAGATGTCAAACATTTTGTTATATCAGGTAATCCTGGTACACCGGGACTCGGTAGGAATGGAAATGGAAAAGGAAACGATGCCGGAAATTGTGGTAATTGAGCATTTGCAGACAGTGCAATGCATAAAACCGCCAGGAGAAAAATCACGTTTTTGAAAGCCATGATGAAAAAAAAAAGATGTTTGAAATATTCCAATATATGATTCTTTCTCGTGTTTGTTGTTGAGTGATGAACAATACTAAGATCAGTTGTTATTTATAGGGGAAGAAACGAGCTATGGTGGTACTAATTGTATTTGTCTCCATAAAACGTCTTTCAAATTTTTATTAGATAATCAATAAGCTTGCAGTATCTTATTTTCTTATTGAATGAGAAGTTACTAAAATTAAAAGAGAGTCCACAGCCACCTTGATGAGACGATTGACATTAATAGGAAAATATTAACTACTTAGACTATTGATGATAGGATAAAGGAGATAATATATATAGTACGACAAAATTAGAAAACCCGGTTTAGGGTTTTCAACTCTATTAAAAACAATCTTAAAAAAAGATGACACTTTATCTTTAATATTAAAAAAAATCAAAATATTGTTAAAGGGTTTTCGAGCTGGCCCGAGTTCGACCGGGCTAATTAAACCACAAAAATCTTGAGTCCGGACGGGCTTAGCGAGAAAAACCAGACTTTTATGAATATATGTATATATATATATATATAATTTTGAGCCCGCTATTTTTAGGGCTTTTGACGTAATCGACATGCCTACGTATCTGTTCTCTCTTTTCCATATTCTGTTAAAGTATTTATTATTTCATGTATATATTTTCTAATTAGGAACAGTTTTAGCAATAAATTCTAAAACACATACCTAAATAAATGATTAGGAATATAAGACATACCACGACATATCTTATGCACCATGTTCGGTGATTGAATTTTATATATTCGTAAAATAAAAAATATAATTATTGTTTTTAAAATTTAACTCACATTTATTTAAATTTATGGTCATATGACCTAAAAACCAAGATACTTATTCAATGATGATATTGTAAAACTAAATATGAAAAGATTAAATGTAAAAAAATGAAAGACAAGTTTGTGAATAAAATAATAATGGATGAAAATTTGATATTTACTATTTTGACTCTCTTTTCTATTATAATTTTTGAATGTGAAAAATTAGTCAATTTAATTCATCAATTTATATTATGTATATTATGTATATTTTACAATTTCAATTTTTAAAGATTGAGCAAGTTTTAAGATTTTTCAATATAAGTGTGCAACACACTTCGCATATTTTTACAGTGTTTGCTAATTTAAAACGTAATAACAATCATCCATTGGAATTCTAATTTTAATTTTTCTGGAATCGTGCTTTTATAGCGCTTCTAAATTCATGTTGTTTCTTGAAAGGTCATTACACCTTCAAGCAAGCCTTTTTGCAATCTAATTAAAATTGTTATAAATTATTGTTATGTAAAACTGGGAAAAACAAAGTGACTCGTTTATAATGCTATTATTATATCGTTGAAAATTTTGGATACAAATCGTAAACCTAATCTTATTTTTCAACTAAAAAAAAAGAAAAAAAAATGGAATCGTTAACATTATTTGTAATTAAATTCTACTTTTTGGTAGGAGGAAGTGCGCCAACGGGTTTTTGAACACTGTTCCTTTAGCATAGGAGGAAAAAATGGATTGAATGGAAGTTGTGGAATGCAATTGGTTTCAGCTTCCAAAATTGCTTTGCAACAAGCAGGACCTATGTTTCCGAACTTTCCAATGAGTATAGATTGCGAAAACTCTGCGATACACCCTGGAATATTCATAAAAGATGTCAAACATTTTGTTATATCAGGTAATCCTGGTACACCGGGACTCGGTAAGAATGGAAATGGAAAAGGAAACGGTGCCGGAAATTGTGGTAATTGAGCATTTGCAGACAGTGCAATGCATAAAACCGCCAGGAGAAAAATCACGTTTTTGAAAGCCATGATGAAAAAAAAAAGATGTTTGAAATATTAAAATATATGATTCTTTCTCGTGTTTGTTGTTGAGTGATGAACAATACTAAGATCAGTTGTTATTTATAGGGGAAGAAACGAGCTATGGTGGTACTAATTGTATTTGTCTCCATAAAACGTCTTTCAAATTTTTATTAGATAATCAATAAGCTTGCAGTTTCTTATTTTCTTATTGAATGAGAAGTTACTAAAATTAAAAGAGAGTCCACAGCCACCTTGATGAGACGATTGACATTAATAGGAAAATATTAACTACTTAGACTATTGATGATAGGATAAACGAGATGATATATATAGTACGACACAATTAGAAAACCCGGTTTAGGGTTTTCAACTCTATTAAAAACAATCTTAAAAAAATATGACACTTTATCTTAAATATTAAAAAAAAATAAAAATATTGTTTAAGGGTTTTCGAGGTGGCCCAAGTTCGACCGGGCTAATTAAACCACAAAAATCTTGAGTCTGAACAGGCTTTGCGAGAAAAACCAGACTTTTATGAATATATATGTATATATATCGAGCCCGCTATTTTTAGGGCTTTTGACGTAATCGACATGCCTATGTATCTATTCTCTCTTTTCCATATTCTGTTAAAGTATTTATTATTTCATGTATATATTTTCTAATTAGGAACAGTTTTAGCAATAAATTCTAAAACACATACCTAAATAAATGATTAGAAATATAAGACATACCACGACATATCTTATGCACCATGTTCGGTGATTGAATTTCATATATTCGTAAAATAAAAAATATAATTATTGTTTCAAAAATTTAACTCACATTTATTTAAATTTATGGTCATATGACCTAAAAACCAAGATACTTATTCAATGATGATATTGTAAAACTAAATATGAAAATATTAAATGTAAAAAAATGAAAGACAAGTTTGTGAATAAATTAATAATGGATGAAAATTTGATATTTACTATTTTGACTCTCTTTTCTATTACAATTTTTGAATGTGAAAAATTAGTGAATTTAATTCATCCATGTATATTATGTATATTGACCATTTAAATTTTTAAAGATTGAGCAAATTTTAAGATTTTTCAATATAAGTGTGCAACACACTTCGCATTTTTTTTACAGTGTTTTCTAATTTAAAACGTAATAACAATCATCCATTGGACTTCTAATTTTATTTTTTCCGGAATAGTGCTTTTATAGCGCTTCTAAATTCATGTTGGTTTTTGGAAGGTACTTACACCTTCAAGCAAGCTTTTTTGCAATCTAATTAAAATTATTATAGATTATTGTTATGTAAAACTGGGAAAAACAAAGTGACTCGTTTATAATGCTATTATTATATCGTTGAAAATTTTGGATACAAATCGTAAACCTAATCTTATTTTTCAACTAAAAAAATAGAAAAAAAAAATGGAATCGTTAACATTATTTTTAATTAAATTCTACTTTTTGGTAGGAGGAAGTGCGCCAACAGTTTTTGAACATTGTTCCTTTAGCATAGGAGGAAAAAATGGATTAAATGGAAGTTGTTGAATGCAATTGGTTTCAGCTTCCAAAATTGCTTTGCAACAAGCAGGGCCTATGTTTCCAAACTTTCCAATGAGTATAGATTGCGAAAACTCTGCGATACACCCTGGAATATTCATAAAAGATGTCAAACATTTTGTTATATCAGGCAATCCTGGTACACCGGGACTCGGTAGGAATGGAAATGGAAAAGGAAACGGTGCCGAAAATTGTGGTAATTGAGCATTTGCAGACAGTGCAATGCATAAAACCGCTAACAGAAAAAACACGTTTTTGAAAGCCATGATGAAAGAAAAAAGGATGTTTGAAATATTCCAATATATGATTCTTTATCGTGTTTGCTGTTGAGTGATGAACAATACTAAGATCAGTTGTTATTTATAGGGGAAGAAATGAGCTATGGTGTTACTAATTGTATTTGTCTCCATAAAACGTCTTTCAAAGTTTTATTACATAATCAATAAGCTGCAGTTTCTTATTTTC